GGGGAGGGGAGACGAGAGGCGAGGCAGCGCGGCGGGAGGAGCGGGGTGCGGCCGTGCCCGAGGGCGGCTCCGGCGGGCAGCGGGGCGTCCCGCGGCCGTTGTCCGGGCTGACGGGAGCGGGGGCGGCGGCGCTCCGCTCAGGGAGGCCCGGCGCGGGCCGCGGGGCGGAGGCCTCTGCCGGGCGGAGCGCGGCTGTGCGGGCCGCGGGGCCGGGCCACCGTCAGTAGGTGCGGAGCGTAGCCCGGGCCCGGCGCCTCGGCCGCCGGCGGAAGGGCTGAGCCCGGGGTACGGCCACCGAGAGAGAGCTGGGCTGTTTGTAGCCGCCTGCGCAGCTCTCCCCTTGGAAAGCGCTGTTTGGCGGTAACTCTGGCTCGCTCTGCGCCCAGAGATGCCGTGCAGGCCGAGCCGCGCGGAGCGAGCGAGCGCTTCGTGGGGTTCTGCTTAGAGACCTCCCGTCTGAGCCGGCCTGTCCGGCCCGGGCAGAGCCAAGAGGCGTTGGTGCTGCCGGCATTCGTGTGCGATGCTGCGCTTAAAGCGCGCAGCTCTGGCACTGCTCGCGAGCGGCGAGGCGCACGGCCGTTGTGTACCTGCGCCATCCCTGCACGCAGCGGCCCCGGGCACAGGGCAGGGTGCCATTTTGCGGGATGCTGCGCAAACAGAACAAAGAGCACATGTCCGAAGTGTGTAACAAAGACGGCGGTTAGGTGCAGGTAGATGGCAGAGTGCAAACGGACGACGAGGCGGTCAGCATCTCAGTGGCCAAAGCTGGTTTTGCTGCATCGCCTTTGTCAAGGAACAGCTGGGTTTTGAGAACAAAACGTGCTCGAGGGGAGCTTCACCCAAGTGTGTGAGCAAACACAGCTGGAGTTGTTGGCATCTTTGAAAATTTAGCCAGTGGATAATAGAGAAACTTCTCATTTCTGAAAGCAAAGTTTTTAAAGAATTTCAGCTAGAAATAGTGAGAAACGATGAAGAAATTGGAAACATGGGTAAAGGGCTTGATATCTTCCTATGGAAGCAATGAACGATCCGCTGTGTGTAACATTTGCATATATGTAAAAGTACTAATGCTTGTACAGGATGCACAGTTTTCTGCATCATTCCTGTAATCCTGGATGCAAGCAATTTGAAGTCTGTGTAGTATTTCCTACTTGTGTTTGGTTGTTAATCTTCATTTCCTCCTGCATTTGCATCCTGTTTAAAGTGTTGTCATTTTCCACTCATTTGGTGTTTTTTTCTCTTAATCTGCCTTGCCTGTTCCATTCTTCCTCTATTGCAGTTTCTTTCTTCTATTTGTATGTTACTCACAGAGGCTATCATAAATTATGAATAAAATGTATGGATTGCACATCTGGGATAGGCCAGGCTCTGCACAAGCAGCTGGCCTGGATTCGTTTGTATGTAGTTAGATTTCTGTGTGAACCCAGACCTAAACACCATGGGAAGACGTGAGCTTTTCCAGGTGAAGCATTTGATGCTACGACAGAATTTTCTTGCGTATGGGGACCATTTCCTTCTGTTGGCTATGAAGAGAGCTTTGCATTATTAGTTCAGAATTGGGCATCTACCCTGGATAATTACAGAAGTAGATAACTGATGTTGTTCTTGCTTGAATCTCCTTCAAAATAGAATTTTCTAGACAGGAAGAAGTGGAGAAACCTGTCTGCTTATGCCCTCTTACACAGTGCATTCTTCTTACTGTACAAGTAAACGTTATTTCCCCACTTTCAGAAGGCAATGATTTTGAAATAAGCTCTCGACCTTTTCTCTGTCCTCTATTTCCATACCAATTACAAGAAACAAAACAACACTGCTATTGATGGTTATAAAAGACTGGGATATGTTGTAATCCCACAGGAGCTATTCTTGGAGAGAAGCATTCCCAATCTCAGCAGGGAGAGTCACAACAACTGCAGCCACAAATGTTATTCCTAACAGCCGAATAATCTTTCCAGTTGTCACGTTCCAGACCTTCTGCTGCATGGAAATCACCCAAGCCACTGTGCTTAAAAATTGTGATGTTTTCCCAGCAGCATTGGGCCTGTTTCCCACCGAGCTCCCAACTAATCTCCATTTCAGGAGCTTCACAGCAATTCAGGTTGGGGCATTCAAGAGTTCACTGGATGAGTTATGGTGCCCTCTCTGTGGGAGGGTTAGTCCTTGTCTTGGAAAGTACTGGAGAGAAAATGAAGACACTTTCCTCATACTGTCTTCTGTCTACGAATAGGAGCATGAGAAAACCCTGGTGAATGTACCAGACTGCCCCAAGTCATACCTACAACCAGAGCAGTGGTGGTTCCTATAGGACCAACTGGGGAGAGGTGGTAGCTGCTCCACGCATTGTTCAGTTCACAGGAAAGCTGGGCTAAACAACACCAAGCAAATCCTGAACTTAGTTCTGTAGTGTTACCCTAGGATGGACAAAAGTGCACCCGACAAGTGTGGGTGGGAGTACCTGGGTTCCTTGGAGAACTGTGCTTCTTCTCTGTAGTGACTTTTGTCCATTTGTGCAATCACATTTCATTTCTAAGAGACAATTTGAATGATTTCATTTTCTAGCTATAATGCAGGAAAACACATGGCAAAGGTGTGTATAATATGCAGATGCTTAACCAAGACAATAATTCATAGAGGCTGTAATGCTGAGAGGACTTCGCTACAAACTGACAGAGCTGAGAATTCCTTAAGCAGACATTATGTCATCTAATTATACCCACATGAACCAGGAGACTTATCTGTCTTCTGCTAAATATTTGTGCAGAATATCACTGCATAAGTCGTTTGGATGACAGTCAGTACAAGCAGTCTTCAGAAATGTTCCAGGGAATGAAGGAATAAGAGTGAATCTTCACATTAAATTCCCCTAATTTTAGGTTTTACATTGTAAAAAAATAACCTTACTCCAGAATAGTCATTTGCACTCTATTTTAGTTCAGCTGACCTGAAGTAAATTCATCTGTAAGGCAGAATGTTTGGGCAGTATATTTGTTTCCTTCATGCATCAGTCTCTTTCTCTCTCCAGCTAGAGTTAGATCTGTTAAAACTGACTTATTTATAGCATTGCATTAGCGGAATGCTTATGGTATGATTGTGATATTGAATATGATATTACAGTGATAGCTTTGTGGAAGTTAAAGATCTAATAACATTTTTCAGTGTCTTATGGTATAAATGTTCTGGTGTGTGTGACATCTCAGTTGAAAATTCATATATAGACGGCATGAAAGGGGAGAGCAGCTACTTCTAAATATCTTTCTGTGTGAAAAGCCTTGCTGCAGAGAGAATTACGGTTGTTCCTGAGAAAAGTGTTCACATGTGAGGTTATTTAACAATGGGCCATTGCTCTATAAATCTGCATGAAGACTTGCCAGAACTGGGCTGTATAATATGGTTGTGAGAACTTGGCTCCAAATGTATACACTAAAGGGTGTTGGACACAGAACACTTGCAGGCTATACTATGGCAGCATGTAGTTGTCTGTGTAGGTGATCATTTGAAGATCAATTGAAGTTCAACTGTAGCAGTGATTTTTGTATCTGTCTTGTATGACTGGAATGAAACTATCAAACCACTTAATTTTAGATACATGATAATTATTAAATAATTATTTAAATTGCTGCCTCATTTATGCTATTGGTTTGGGCTCGGCTTTTATCTTTGCAGATTTTGTAGTGAATATAAAAGGTGACAGATTTTCAGCTCTATAGTCTCTGCTAGCCTCTCTACTTCATCACAGACAACAGCTACATTAGATATAATCCTATTTTTTCCATTCATCCTTTCTTAGAGGTAATCCATGGTGTAAGGGATCACCTCTAGGAATTAAAGAATATTCTTAATGCTCATTAAATATTTCTGGTCCTTTTACTGAGGTTTCCAGGCATGTTGGTGCAAGGGACAGTCTCTTCCACAGAAGATGATAATTCATTTCAGATAGATCGCTAAAGATTGTTAATAAATAATAATAGTATTTAATTCTTCTGTCATGCCTCTCAAAGGAGAGGTGTTAATGCTAGATTTAAGGTGTTGCAGGCATTGGAAACATTTTCACACAGGCTACATTTGGATTTGAGAGCCCAGTGAAACTTTCCATATAACAAAGGGTGAGCGATTGTCTTCTCTGGGGCAAATGGCTTCTAGTGGAGTCTTGCTCTAAGCCACCTGTAAGCAGAGGGAGACAAGTCTCCCTGTACCCTGTGAGAAATTGTGAATTTGGACCCTGGGGCTAAATGGACTGGAGTGAAGCTACCATTACCCGTGACTGAAATTTGGGGCTAAATCCTTCCCTGGTGGCTCCCACCTGGATGAAATGAGGTGGTGTCCAGCATGTCCTCCACTAAGGGGGATTCATCCAGGCAAAGCCAGAGCCCACAGATGAAGAATGGGCATGCACTGCATAGACTCCTTTAAGCTACAACAATCTCCATATTTAGCTGCCAGTTCTTGCTGACATCAGAATAAGATCTAGCTGGTGATAAGGCGAAGGCATACCTCAGTCAGGGAGCCAACCTGCCCTGGGGCTATGAGAGAGAGGAAAATGGTCCACTCTCAGTGCTGTCAGCTCAGATCTGCTCCCTGATCTCACCATTTCCCTTAATCCCTCCTACTTCACTCCCTCTGCCCTTCTATGTTGCTTGCTGTCTTCCTATTTTTCTCCTTTTTCCTCCCATTCTTTATGTGTTCCTTCATTTTTCTTCCTGTTTTCCTTTTCTCCTTTCTTCTTTATCTCTCGCAGCTCTTGTGCTGCTCATTCTGCCTGCTCCATCCTCCAATTCCCCTTTCTGTC